AGATAGAGGTGGAGTAGGTGGATGGATAGATGTACAGATGCACAGATGGGTGGGTGGGTGGGTGGATAGATGGATGGATGGATGGATGGATGGACGGACAGACAGATAGATGGATAGATGCATGGATAGATGGATGCATGAATAGATGGATGGATGGACAGATAGATTGATGGATGGATATAGATAGATAGATAGATAGATAGATAGATAGATAGATAGATAGATAGATAGATGTATAGAACTCGGTGAACGTTGGCCACTAGATTGGCTTTTAGTTGTTATTATATTAATAGAATGTTTTAACTTGTGGTTATTTGTTGTTATGTGTTTTATCTCTTGAATTGTTGGCATTGAATTGTGCCGGTTGTAAGCCGCCCTGAGTCCCCACTAGATGAATGGATGGGTGGATGGATAGGTAGATAAGATTATTGTCTTCCAAGCTTTGGGGTGGGTGCCTGCTTGAGTGTCTCTCCTCCTCCAACCGTTCTGCTGTTCTGTCTTGCAGCCGGGCCGGGGGTGGCAGAGGCGGGCCCCCCACATGTAGGCCCCCCGCTCTTCCTGCAGGGCCGGTCCCTGTACGCGGTGCTGGAGGCGGTTCCGGCGCGGCGCTGGAAGGAGTTCGTGCGTGGCCTGGGCCTGCGGGATGGGGAGATCGAGCGGGTGGAGCTGGAGCACCCCCAGTTGCGGGAGCAGCAGTACCAGATGTTGCGGTGCTGGGCCCAGCAAAGGCCGGGGGCCGCCCCACAAGACCTCTTTGCCGCCCTGGAGGACATGCAGCTGGAGGGCTGCGCACAGGCCCTCCGGGAGGCCCTCCAAGGACAGTAGGGGCCCCAGAGTCTCCATCTCATAATTCGTTTGATGGGTCCCACATGCAGATGGTGTTCTCCAGGAACCCATAGGGAAGGGTCTGGGTGTTTTGGAGGACCCCAACAATATAGAGACATTATCTAATCAAAGTTATGGGTCTCCATTCCATAACTGATGCATCTCCATCCCATAAATGATGGGTCTCCATCCCATAACTGAAGCGATTGAAGGGTCTCCATCCCATATTGATGGGTCTCCATCCCATAACTGAAGGGATTGAAGGGTCTCCATCCCATATTGATGGGTCTCCATCCCATAACTGAAGGGATTGAAGAATCTCCATCCCATATTGATAGGTCTCCATCCCATAACTGAAGGGATTGAAGGGTCTCCATCCCATATTGATGGATCTCCATCCCATAACTGAAGGGATTGAAGGGTCTCCATCCCATATTGATGGGTCTCCATCCCATAATTGAAGGGATTGAAGGGACTCCATCCCATAACTGAAGGAATTGAAGGGTCTCCATCCCATATTGATGGGTCTCCATCCCATAACTGAAGGGATTGAAGAGTCTCCATCCCATATTGATGGGTCTCTATTCCATAATTGAAGGGATTGAAGGGACTTCATCCCATAACTGAAGGGATTGAAGGGTCTCCATCCCATATTGATGGGCCTCTATCCCCTAAGTCTTTGTTGCATAATAAGTCCCCATCCCTTAGTTGATGGGTCTCCATCCCTTAATTTATAGGTCTCCATCCCATAAATGATGGGCCTCTATCTCCTAAGACTTTATTGCATAATAAGTCCCCATCCCTTAATTTATAGGTCTCCATCCCACAAATCTCCATCCCATAATTGATGTGTCTCCAGCCCATAAATGATGGGCTTCCATGCCCTAAGTCTTCATTCCATAATAAGTCTCCATCCCTAAGTTGATGGGTTTCCATCCCATGAGAAGTCTCCATCCCATAAGTCTCCATCTCATAGTTGATGGGTCTCCATCTCTTAATTTATAGGTCTCCATCCCATGTCTCCATCCCATAATTGATGCATGTCCATCCCATAAATGATGGGCCTCCATCCCATAATTGAAGGGATTGAAGGGTGTCCATCCCATATTGATGGATCTCCATCCCATAAATCTCCATCTCATATTGATGGGTCTCCATCCCATAATCCATGCCATAATAAGTTTCCATCCCATAATCATTTGGTGTCCATCCCATAACTGATGGGTCTCTATTACATAAATGATGGGCCTCCATCCCATAAGTCTCTATCCCATAATGTCTCTATCCCTTAGTTGATGGGGCCCCATCTCATAGTTTATGGGTCTCCATCCCATAACTCACTATCTCCATCCCTTAATTTATAGGTCTCCATCCCATAATTGATGGTTCTCCATCTCGTAAGTGATGGATCTCCATCTCAGAACTGTTGAGTCTTCATGCGATAATTGTTGAGTCTCCATCTCTATCCCACAATTGATGGGTCTCCATTCCATTATTTGTAAGTCTCCATGGCATCATTCATGGGTCTTCATCCAATAATTGTTGGGTCTCCATCCCATAATTGATGGGTCTCCATTCCATAAATGATGGGCCTCCATCCCACTATGGGATGGAGACTTATTATGGAATGGAGATTTATGGGATGAAGTCTCCATTCCATAATAAGTCTCCATCCCATAGTTGATGGGTCTCCATCTCATAGTTTATAGGTTTCCATCCCATAGTTGATGGGTCTCCATCCCATAACTCCCTATCTCATAGTTGATGGGTCTCCATCCTTTAATTTATAGGTCTCCATCCCATAATTTATGGTTCTCCATCCCATAAGTGATGGGTCTCCATCTCAGAATTAATTAATCTCTATCCCATAGTTGATGGTTCCCCATCCCATAAGTGATGGGTCTCTATCTCATAATTGTTGGGTCCCCATCCCATACTAAGTCTCCATCCCATCATTTATAGGTCTCCATCCCATAATAAATCTGCATCCCAGAATAAGTCTCCATCCCATAAGAAGTGTCTACTCCATAACTGTTGGGTCTGCATTCTATAAGTGTTGGGTCTCCATCCCATAACTGTTGGGTCTCCATCCCACAACTGTATGGTCTCCATCCTATAACTGTAGGGTCTCCATCCCACAACTGTTGGGTCTCCATCCCATAACTGTAGGGTCTCCATCCCACAACTGTTGGGTCTCCATCTCACAACTGTTGGGTCTCCATCCCATTACTTCCTCCTTGGGATCCCATGGAGAGATGAGGAGAGTCTATGGAGAGGAGAGAGACACGGTGCTATCCAAAGGCTCACAAGAGTAGGGTCTCTTGTTGGTGCCCCCTTTTTTGGGGGGGGGACACAACCCAGACTACATGGGGGGACCTCACTACCGCACTCTAGAGTCCATACACCCCACATAGAGATGGTGCTATATCTAGGAACACATAGAGGTCCTCAAATTTGCAGGGACAGATGCCTTCAAGAGGTCCCACCTGACGACAACGACCACGGATGGTCTCAAAGCTGGACTTTGCCCTCAAAATGAGAAATGTCCAATCCTTCCACCCGGATGGAAGCTGTGTAGACATCTGTATGTCACCTTATATATATATATATTAAATATATTAAATATAGTTTTCCAATTTTTCCGTCTTCTTTGCCATCTTCTCGGCCTACTTTGTTGGGAGTCTTGAGAAATGAAAGGTCCGGAAAATGCAAGCAAGAGACGCCAGATGAAGAATTCCATTGTTTTTATATATATATCCTTAATATATATATTTATATATATTTTAATAATAGTTTGGTAAGATAAAACATTCTAGAGACAATCCGTCCGGAGGCGAGTTCGAGTGCCGTCCCCCCCAAAAAATAATAATAATCACAAATATATATATATATATATATAGAAAAAAAAGAGAAATAAAATACAAATGTCCAACGGCCGCTGGGAGGAACTTCTTCGCTTCCTTTTGCAAAACGGGGCAGAAGTTACATTTGCAGAAAGTAACTTCTATTCTATAGCTATTGCAATAAATGGGGGGGGGATAGGGATTGACCATAGAAAAGAAAGCGGTTTTTAATAATTCTGGACATTGCGAAATATGTATCTTCTAATTTTAGAAAAGGAATTTTTTTTCAATTTTTTTTCAAAAATTCTAAATTTTGAATTTTTTTCAAAAAATTGAAAAATTTTATAATTTTTTCCAAATTATTTAAAATTAAGAAATTTTTCCAAAAATTTTATATATTTTTTCAAATTAAGAAAATTTTTCCAAAAATGTCAAAATTTATTTGTTTTTCAAAATTTCCAAATTTTGATTTCATTTTTTAAAAAATTGAAAAATTTTATAATTTTTTTCAAATTGAGAAAATTTTCCAAAAATGTCAAAAAAATTTCAAAAATTCCAAATTTTGATTTCATTTTTTTAAAAAATTGAAAAAAAATATTTTTTTCATTTTTTTTAAATTAAGAAAATGTTCCAAAAATGTCAAAATTTATTTTTTTCAAAAATTCCAAATTTCGATTTCATTTTTTTAAAATGAAAAATTTAATATTTTTTCAAAAAAAAAATTAAAATTAAGAAAATTTTCCAAAAATGTCAAGATTGGAATTTTGAAATGATTTTATAATGGCCAAAAAAAAAAAGAAATCAAAATGGGAACTTTTTTCAATTTATTTTTACAATTGAAATTTTTACAAAAATTTCAAAATTGGATTTTTTCATTTTTTTAAAACTGAAAAAAAAATTACAATTGGATTTTTTTTTCCAAATTAGAAATTTTCAAAAGATGTTCAAGATGGGAATTTTAAAATAATTTTACAATTGCCAAAAAATTCAATTTGGGAATTTTTTCAATTTTTTAAAAACAATTGAATTTTATTCAAAAATTTTAAAATGGGAATTTTAAAATAATTTGACAAATGTAAAAAAGGTTCAAAGTGGGAAACATTTCAATTTTTTTCTACAATTGGAAATTTTTCAAAAAATTCAAAATTGGAATTTTGAAAATATAATAAAAAGGGGAAATCTTTCCAAAATTTTAAAATGGGATTTTTTTTTCAAAAAAATTATTTCATATTTTATCCTAGGATTCTGCAGCTGGGGTCAATGATGGATGTCCTTGGAACAAAATAAAAATAATGTTAAAAAAATAAAACAATAATAAAATAAAATAAAAATAAATGTAAAATTCACCCCGTTTCTGGACTCTGATATTCTTGGAATTTAAAAAATAAATATTTTGCCCCATTTTTGGATTGGATTTTGTAATTCAAATCAATGATATATTTGGGAATTTAAAAATAATTGCCTAGTCTGAGCCATTTCTCAGTATTTAACTTTGAAAATATATATATATTAAAACAACAAATTTAAAATTTAATTTTTAAAAGAAATTTAAATTTAAAAATGCTTGGCAGAGAGCATTATTGCCAACATCATCATTCTAAATTAAAATTGCAATTTAAATAAAATTTAAAAATCATAAAATTGAGTTTTTAAAATGTTTAAATTTTCAAAATGGGAAATTTGAAATTTTACAATTTTAAAATTTGAATTTTTTTTACAAATTATGAATTTTCAAATCAAACTTTTCCCATTTTAAAATTGAAATGTCTATATTTTAAAATTGGATTTTTTTTCAGAAATTAACATTTATTTTTTAAAAAATTGAAATTTTGAAATTTCCTTTTTGAAAAAAATTCGAAATTCACATTTTGAAATTTAATTTTTTGAAAAAAATTCCAAATTTCAATTTAGAAATTTAATCTTTTTTAAAAAAAAATTCAAAATCGAAATTTTGAAATTTCCTTTTTTGAAAAAAAAATCAAAATTGAAATTTTGAAATTTAATTTTTTGAAAAAATTCAAAATTGAAATTTTGACATTTACTTTTTTAAAAAAAGTGAAATTTTGAAATTTACTTTTTGAAAAAAAATCAAAATTGAAATTTTGACATTTACTTTTTTAAAAAAATTGAAATTTTGAAATTTTAATTTTTTGGAAAAAAATTCAAAATTGAAAATTGAAATTTTGAAATTTAATTTTTTTTAATTTAATTTTTTTTTACTCTTTCCTTTTGTCCCGGAGAAGAAAAGGGGCTCGGGGGGGGGGGGTCATGTCTCTGGATGCGAGGCTCGGCCTTCGAAAGAGAGAAGCGAAGAAACGGAGAGAGCGAACGAGAGGCGGACGGACGGACGGATGGACAGAAAGAGGGGGCGGAGCCTAAGAGGAGGAGGGGGCGATGGGTCCTTCAGTGCTTGGCGATGTCTCCTTTCTTGAGGATGATCTGCCGCTGCCAAGGGGCCAACTTGCTCTCGTCGTAGCCAAGAGTCCTGAGCTTCTCCGACTGTGCCTTCTCCTTCGCCTCCTCTTCGCGACGCAGCTTCTCCTGCTCCTGACTGTGGGGAAGCGGAGGGAGGGAGAGATGTAGTTCGCCAAGGCCTCCCCTGCCTCCTCCTGCATTCACCCCACAAGGTTGAAGCTAAGAGCCTTGGGAAACTACATCTCCCAACATAACAGCCACTGCACTTCCTTGCATTCCTTGCACAGGGTATTGGGAAACTACATCTCCCAACATAAAGCATTCGTTCCACTAAGGGTCTTTGGAAACTACATCTCCCAGTACTGCAGAGACTGTATCTACAGTGTCAAGGCTAAGGGGCCTTGGGAAACTACATCTTCCAACATTGCCCCACAGGGTCGATGCTAAGGGCCTTGGGAAACTACATCTCCCAACGTAACAGCCACTGCACTTCTTGCATTCCTTCCACAGGGTCGAGACTAAGGGTATTGGGAAACTACATCTCCCAGCATAAAGTATTCCTGCATTCACCCCACAAGGTTGAGGCTAAGAGCCTTGGGAAACTACATCTCCCAACATAACACCCACTGCACTTCCTTGCATTCCTCCCACAGGGTCGCGACTAAGGGTATTGGGAAACTACATCTCCCAGCATAAAGTATTCCTGCATTCACCCCACAAGGATGAGGCTAAGAGCCTTGGGAAACTACATCTCCCAACATAACAGCCACTGCACTTCCTTGCATTCCTCCCACAGCGTCGAGACTAAGGGTATTGGGAAACTATATCTCCCAACATAAAGCATTCGTTCCACAGAGTTGAGGCTAAGGGTCTTCGGAAACTACATCTCCCAACGTAACAGCCACTGCACTTCCTTGCATTCCTTCCACAAGGTATTGGGAAACTACATCTCCCAACATAAGGCATTCGTTCCACAGAGTCGAGGCTAAGGGTCTTCGGAAACTACATCTCCCAGTATTGCAGAGACTGTATCTACAGTGTCAAGGCTAAGGAGCCTTGGGAAACTACATCTTCCAACATTGCCCCACAGGGTCGATGCTAAGGGCCTTGGGAAACTACATCTCCCAACGTAACAGCCACTGCACTTCCTTGCATTCCTCCCACAGGGTCGAGACTAAGGGTATTGGGAAACTACATCTCCCAACATAAAGCATTCGTTCCACTAAGGGGCTTTGGAAACTGCATCTCCCAGTACTGAAGAGACTGTATTTACAGTGTCAAGGCTAAGGGGCCTTGGGAAACTACATCTTCCAACATTGAGCCACGGTACTTCCTTGCATTCCTTCCACAGGGTCGAGACTAAGGGTATTGGGAAACTACATCTCCCAACATAAAGTATTCGTTCCACTAAGGGTCTTTGGAAACTACATCTCCCAATACTGCAGAGACTGTATCTACAGTGTCAAGGCTAAGGGGCCTTGGGAAACTACATCTCCCAACATAACAGCCACTGCACTTCCTTTCATTCCTTCCACAGGGTATTGGGAAACTACATCTCCCAACATAAAGCATTCGTTCCACTAAGGGTCTTTGGAAACTACATCTCCCAGTACTGCAGAGACTGTATCTACAGTGTTAAAGCTAAGGGGCCTTGGGAAACTACATCTCCCAACATAACAGCCACTGCACTTCCTTGCATTCCTTTCACAGGGTCGAGACTAAGGATATTGGGAAACTACATCTTCCAACATAAAGCATTTGTTCTACAGATTCGAGGCTAAAGGTCTTTGGAAACTGCATCTCCCAGTACTGAAGAGACTGTATCTACAGTGTCAAGGCTAAGGGGCCTTGGGAAACTACATCTTCCAACATTGAGCCACGGGACTTCCTGCATTCGCCCCACAGGGTCGATGCTAAGGGCCTTGGGAAACTATAACACCCAACATCTCTAGGTTGGGAGATAATAATTGATAATAATAATGTAACTGAAAACGATGGTAATATAAAATAATAAATCAATGATAATTATAATAATAATTAAATAAATAATATAAAATAAATAATATAAAATTATGAGGATAATTATGATGATGATGATGATATAATAAAATAGAAAATAATAATAAAAATAATAAAAAATAATGATGATAATAAATAATAATAATAGTAAAATAAAATATAATAATAATGTAAAATAATAAAAATAATAAAACATAATAATGATGGTAATAATAATAATACTAATAATAATAGTAAAATAAAATATAATAATAATATAAAATGAAAAGAATGATAATATTAATTAATAAATCAATAATATAAATAATATAAATAAATAATATAAAAATGATGATGATGATGATGATGATAATATAATAAAATAGAAAATGAATATAATAATATAAATAAATAATATAAAAATGATGATGATGATAATAATAATAATAATATAATAAAATAGAAAATGAATATAATAATATAAATAAATAATATAAAAATGATGATGATGATAATAATAATAATAATATAATAAAATAGAAAATGAATATAATAATATAAATAAATAATATAAAAATGATGATGATGAGGATAATAATAATAATAATAATAATATAAATAAATAATATAAAATGATGATGATAATAATAATATAATAATAAAATAGAAAATGAATATAATAATATAAATAAATAATATAAAAATGATGAGGAGGAGGATAATAATAATAATATAATAAAATAGAAAATAAATATAATAATATAAATAAATAATATAAAAATGATGATGATGATGATAATAATAATAATAATATAATAAAATAGAAAATGAATATAATAATATAAATAAATAATATAAAAATGATGAGGAGGAGGATAATAATAATAATAATAATAATATAAATAAATAATATAAAATGATGATGATGATAATAATATAATAAAATAGAAAATAATAATAAAAATATAAATAAATAATATAAAAATGATGATGATAATAATAATATAATAAAATAGAAAATAATAATAATAATATAAATAAATAATATAAAATGATGATGATAATAATAATATAATAAAATAGAAAATGAATATAATAATATAAATAAATAATATAAAAATGATGATGATGAGGATAATAATAATAATATAATAAAATAGAAAATGAATATAATAATATAAATAAATAATATAAAAATGATGATGATGATAATAATAATAATAATATAATAAAATAGAAAATGAATATAATAATATAAATAAATAATATAAAAATGATGATGATGAGGATAATAATAATAATAATAATAATATAAATAAATAATATAAAATGATGATGATAATAATAATATAATAATAAAATAGAAAATGAATATAATAATATAAATAAATAATATAAAAATGATGAGGAGGAGGATAATAATAATAATAATATAATAAAATAGAAAATGAATATAATAATATAAATAAATAATATAAAAATGATGATGAGGATAATAATAATAATAATATAATAAAATAGAAAATAAAAATAATCAAAAAATCAGTAGACTCACCGTTTTTGCTCTCTGCAGAAGACAAGAAAGAAAGAGAAAACAATTAAGTTAAGTTGTAAACGTTGTGAAATACGCTTCCAATAGAAATACTAGGGTTCAGGGGGACCCCAAAAGGCCATCCAGTCCAGCCCCATTCAAGCCAATGGGGAAGTAAGACTATAGAGCCAAAGTTAATGAGCTGAAAGGGGTCCCCAAAGGCCACCCAGCCCAACCCCATTCAGGCCAATGGCCGAGGACGACACCACCCGATCCCTCCCGGCAGACGGCCATCCAAAGCGCCTCACCTTTCCTCCTCCATCTTCTTGCGGAGGATCTCTCTCCTCCAGGCCGGCATCGTGGCCAAGCGGGCCTCCTCTTCTCTCTCCTGAAAATAATAATAGTAATAATAGTAATAGTAATAATAATAATATAAAAATAAACATAATAAAATAAATATAAATAATAATAATAATAATAAATATAAATAATAATAATAAATAAAAATAAATAATAGTAATAATAATAATAATAATAATAATAATAATAACAACAACAATGTTTGTCTGGTCTGTTTACATTTGGAATGGATCGAAAACCGTTCATGATGTTGCTTTTCAACAACATTAAATCTGGCTGTCCGGCCATCTGTTGGGAGGGATCGGATGGTGCCTTCCTTGATGGATTCAAGGGGGATGGACTAGATGGCCTTGGGTGAACCCTTCCAACTTTAGGATTCTATCACTTTCTATCCTTCCTTCTCCAAAAAAAACCTACCCATTATTTGTGAGGCTGGATGTCCATCTGTCGGGAGGGATTAGATTGTGACTGTCTTCCTGGCTAAAAAGGGATGGACTGGATGGCTTCGGGACTCCCTTCCAATTCTAGGATTCTATGACTAACTCTATCTCCCTTCTCTATAAAACTACTTATATATCTATGAGGCTGGCTGGCCATCTGTCGGGAGCAATTAGATGGTGCCTTCCATTCTAATTTCAAGGGGGATGGACTAGATTGGCTTTGGGGACCCCTTCTGGCTTTAGGATTCTATGACTTTATAGCCTTCCTTCTCTATAAAACTACTTATATATCTAGGAGGCTGGCAGGTCATCTGTCGGGAGGGATTAGATTGTGACTTTCTTTCTATTTTCGATAGTTTGGATGACCTTTGGGGCTCCCTTCCAATTCTAGGTTTCTATGTCTCTGTGTATAATATCACATCTCCATAAAATCTATGAGGCTGGCTGGCCATCTGTCGGGAGGGATTAGATTGTGACTTTCTATTTTCGATAGTTTGGATAACCTTTGGGGCTCCCTTCCAATTCTAGGATTCTATGTCTCTATGTATAATATCACATCTCCATAAGACTACTATCTATGAGGCTGGCTGGCCATCTGTCAGGAGGGATTAGATTGTGACTTTCTTCCTGGCTAAACAGGGATGGACTGGATGGCCTTTGGGGTTCCCTTCAAACTCTAGGATTTTACGACTATATGAAGGGAACCCCAAAGTAAGTAAGACACCATCCGATCCCGCCCGACAGATGACCATCCAGCCTTGTAGATATTAGATATGACTTTATCTAATCTCTCCTGACAGATAGCCGCTCACAAATACAAGTAGTTTTAATATCTACAAGCCTGGATGGTCATCTGTCGGGTGGGATCAGATGGTATCTTACTTACTTTGGGGATTTTACGACTATAGATGGAGTCAATCCCTCCTGACAGATGGCCACTCAACCTCATAGGTATTCAGTTTTATGGAGTTGGAAGGGTTCCCCAAAGGCCATCCAGTCCATCCCTTTCGGCCAGGAAGGAAGTCACAATCCCTCCGGACAGATGGCCACCCAGCCTCATAGACGTAAGTAGTTTTACGGAGATGTAGTTTTACTACTCATGTCGATGAATCCGGCTGGCCATCTGTCGGGAGGGATTGAATGGTGCCTTACTTTCAAGTTTCAAGGGGGGTGGACTGGATGTCCTTTGGGGACTCCCCTGGTGCAAATGGAAGAAAGGGAGCCTTGTGGGTCATCCTCCTCCTCCCCCCCCGGACTGTCCTCGGGCGACCCCCTGCGCGGCCGCCGTCCAGCGCCAAGCCCTGCGGAGCGGGCCTCTTGGCACGGAGCCCACCAGGCCGGGACTCACAAGAGGTTTAGAGAGGATCAAGGGCCCGAGAGGGTCAGCCCGGGTCAGGAGGGCGGCCGGAGAGGGATCCTGGACGCAGCGGAGAACGGGAAGGGGCCCCCAAAGGACATCCAAACTGGCCCTCGTCAGCCGTAAGGGGGTGATTGACATGTATAAGGAGGTGTAAGCAGGTCTAGGACATTTAACTAGGCGCCACAAGAGCACCCCTGGGCAACAGGCGCTCTACGCGAATGCGTACTCTGCGTAGTGCTCTGACCGCCCCTGAAGGATTGGAAGGGACCCCCAAAGGCCATCCAAACCAGCCCTCGTCGGCCGTAAAGGGACCCCCAAAGGCCATCCAAACAAGTCCTCGAGCACCCCTGGGCAACAGGCGCTCTACGCGAATGCGTACTCTGAGTGTGCTCTGACCGTCCCTGAAGGATTGGTAGGGACCCCCAAAGGCCATCCAAACCAGCCCTCGTCGGCCGTAAAGGGACCCCCAAAGGCCATCCAAACCAGCCCTCAAGAGCACCCCTGGGCAACAGGCGCTCTACGCGAATGCTTACTTTGCGTAGTGCTCTGACCGCCCCTGAAGGATTGGGACCCTCAAAGGCCATCCAAACCAGCCCTCGTCCGCCGTAAAGGGGTGATAGACACATATAAGAATTGGGACCCCCAAAGGCCATCCAAGCCAGCCCTCGTCGGCTGTAAAGGGGTGATTGACATATATAAGAATCGGTACCCCCAAAGGCCATCCAAACCAGCCCTCTTCGGCCTTAAAGGGACCCCCAAAGGCCATCCCAACCAGCCCTCGTCCGTCATAAAGGGGTGATTGACATATATAAGAATCGGGACCCCCAAAGGCCACCCAAACCAGTCCTCAAGAGCACTCTACGCGAATGCTTACTTTGCGTAGTGCTCTGACCGCCCCTGAAGGATTGGAAGGGACCCCCAAAGGCCATCCAAACCATCCCTCGTCGGCCATAAAGGGACCTCCAAAGGCCATCCAAACCAGCCCTCATTGGTCGTAAAGGGACTCCCAAAGGCCATCCAAACCAGCCCTCATTGGTCGTAAAGGGACCTCCAAAGGCCATCCAAACCAGCCCTCATTGGTCGTAAAGGGACTCCCAAAGGCCATCCAAACCAGCCCTCATTGGTCGTAAAGGGACCTCCAAAGGCCATCCAAACCAGCCCTCATTGGTTGTAAAGGGACTCCCAAAGGCCATCCAAACCAGCCCTCGTCGGCCGTAAAGGGACTCCCAAAGGCCATCCAAACCAGCCCTCATTGGTCGTAAAGGGACTCTCAAAGGCCATCCAAACCATCCCTCGTCGGCCGTAAAGGGACCTCCAAAGGCCATCCAAACCAGCCCTCATTGGTCGTAAAGGGACTCCCAAAGGCCATCCAAACCAGCCCTCATTGGTCGTAAAGGGACCTCCAAAGGCCATCCAAACCAGCCCTCATTGGTCATAAAGGGACTCCCAAAGGCCATCCAAACCAGCCCTCGTCGGCCGTAAAGGGACCCCCAAAGGTCGTCCAAACCAGCCCTCGTCCGCCGTAAAGGGGTGATAGACACATATAAGAATTGGGACCCCCAAAGGCCATCCAAACCAGCCCTCGTCGGCCGTAAAGGGACCCCCAAAGGCCATCCAAACCAGCCCTCGTTGGTCATAAAGTGACCCCCAAAGGCCATCCAAACCAGCCCTCGTTGGTCATAAAGGGACCCCCAAAGGCCATCCAAACCAGCCCTCGTTGGTCATAAAGTGACCCCCAAAGGCCATCCAAACCAGCCCTCGTTGGTCATAAAGGGACCCCCAAAGGCCATCCAAACCAGCCCTCGTTGGTCATAAAGGGACCCCCAAAGGCCATCCAAACCAGCCCTCGTCGGCCATAAAGTGACCCCCAAAGGCCATCCAAACCAGCCCTCGTCGGCCGTAAAGGGTACCCCCAAAGGCCATCCAAACCAGCCCAAAGGCCATTCAAACCAGCCCTTGTCGGCCATAAAGGGACCCCCAAAGGCCATCCAAACCAGTCCTCGAGCACCCCTGGGCAACAGGCGCCCTAAGCGAATGCTTACTTTGCATAGTGCTCTGACCGCCCCTGAAGGATTGGAAGGGACCCCCAAAGGCCAACCAAACCAGCCCTCGTCGGTCGCAAAGGGTACCCCCAAAGGCCATCCAAACCAGCCCTCGTTGGCCGTAAAGGGGTGATTGACAGATATAAGAATCGGGACCCCCAAAGGCCATCCAAACCAGTCCTCGAGCACCCCTGGGCAACAGGCGCTCTACGCGAATGCTTACTTTGCGTAGGGCTCTGACCACCCCTGAAGGATTGGAAGGTACCCCCAAAGGCCATCCAAACCAGCCCTCATCGGCCGTAAAGAGGTGATTGACATATATAAGAATTGAGGAGGATGAACCACGGATGATGGGACTTGCAGTAACTTCACTCACTTTCTGAGACCACTGAGACCCTAATCCAATGACTGATCAAGACCAAACTTGGCACACAGAGCCCCCATGACCCACTCTACATCCTGCTGCAGTTTGAAGGAGGATGGACTTTGGATGATGGGACTTGCAGTACCTTCACTCACTTACTGAAACCACTGCCACCCTCATCCAATGACTGATAAAGACCAAACTTGGCACACAGAGCCCCCATGACCCACTCTACATCCTGGTGCACTTTCGAGGAGGACAGACCATGGATGATGGGACTTCAAGTACCTCCACTCCCTTCCCAAGATTGCTGCAACCCTCACCTAATGACCAATCTAGACCAAACTTGGCACACAAAGCCCCATTACCCACTCTCCATCCTGGTGTAGTTTGAAGGAGGATGGGGCATAGATGGGACTCGCAGTACCTTCACTAACTTCCTGAGAGCACTGCGAGCCATATAAATAACTAATAAAGACCAACCTTGATACACAATTCCTTTCTCAAATAACCCGGGCTATGCCGGGTCCCCAAGCTAGTCTATATCTATCTATACATATAATAAAAGTCAAAGTTTGTATGCAGAGGACAAAAGTATGGCGGTGTGACGGTGTATGTGCCAGCATTCTGATTGGCTGCCGCTGTGGTGCTATTTGCATATGGTCTCTGATTGGCCAGCTTTACAGGAGCCCCTGGTGGAGAAAAGGGTTTATGACAGAAACGGAGACATGACAGAAGGAAATCTGCATATGGTCTCTGATTGGCGAACCGCAATTCCAAGATTCCAAGATGACAAAGAGAGGAAAAGGAAAAGGCCAGAGG